GTGCTGTGTTAGCAAACAAAGTGTTGACCTTGGCACGTTGTCCTGAATCTTTAATATATGCATGTGTAGATAGTCTTTTCTTTGCTGTGCAAGTGGGAAAGCGTGCCTTGCCAAGGTTTCACACATGTCCAGTCCTCACACAGCCCCCCTCCACCCCCCTAGCGCCTCCATCATTTTTTCAAAAGGGTGATTGGATATATCAGAGGAAGGCTTTTTTTTTCTTTTTTTTTCCGGGATTCTTAACTGGCTGCCAAAGTGAGAACTCCCCCTCAGGGTAGCTGACCTTCCCTTTTGGCCCACAGAGCAGACGGATGCTCCGCCATGCTCCGTGTTGCTCTCACAGCTCTGAGAAGCCTTTCCGCTGGACAGACGACGGGCCGAAATCACGCTGAGAGACAGGCCAGACGGCCAGAGCTGGGGAGTGCTGGATCGCCCCGCTCGTACAGATGAGTTTGGATGCTGTGAGAACCAGAAGACATGAAAAGTTCCAGCAGGCTGGAGGCGTGAGCCGGCATGCGGGCCAACATTTGCTGGTTCGAGTCCAGGCAATGTGCTGACTGATGGCGGCCCCTGAGGGTTCGCCCCCCCTCTCACAAGATCAAGCCGAGGGGTCGTGACCCGTGATTAGTGTATTCAGTTTGAATAGTAGAAACTGAATTTAATATCAAAACTAGAGAAATAGATTAGATTTTATGGATTTAAAGCCACAGACAGTGCTTATTTAATAATTGAAGACTCAATCTTTAAATGTTTGCTGGTTAATGAGGGCAATAGGTTCTCATTTTTGAGGGGAAATATTTCCCAACGCATTTAAAAAGTCCCGTCAGGCCTCTTTTTGCTGGCATTTCCACTCAGAACTGAAAGCAGACGTCAGAAAGGGCATTCTTCCTGCTAAACTGTGGCAAACGCAGCCTTTCAGATGCCTCACAGATACAACTGAAAACACGTTTCCCATGTTTTCACATTCCACAAGAGAAAGGAGCTCAAGACTCTGGGGAGAGCGTTTCAGGAAATGTGGGAAACCGCTTTACCGGCGAGCGGGCAGGTTCTGCCGGATTGTTCAGAGCACGGCGTTCAAACGGGGCGGCTGAACGTTTGTGAGACTGTGAGCTTTGGCTCCCAGTTGAGACGTAATTACGTCCTCTTCGGGATGTCCTCACCTGTTAGCAGCTCCGCCTCCTACAATAAATCCTCAATCCACAGAGGGCCTGGAGCCGAGGCTGTGCTATATTAAACAGATGTGTGTTTCATAGCTACTATCTCCTCCTAATCCCACTGTGCAACCCGGCTGCAATAAACACCGGCTCATCTCGGCTCATTCTCCGGTCCGCCCTCCATTCTGCCTCCTCTCTCGTTTTCACGTGGGAGTCTGATTTATATTTCATGGCAGTAAGATAGTTCTCATCCTTATGTTCTTAGCCAGCACACCACAGGAGCTCGCTTAAGTGTTGTGTGTGCGTCGGGGAATCAGAAAAAGATGTCGTGCCATAGTTTTTTGCCGAATCACTTTTTTAAAATAAATCTTCTAATCATCCCGTGCTGCAGCTCTGTCATTAACCTCTGGCGAGCCGCATGGAGACAGAGACGCATCGGCATGTAGGGTGTGTTTATCAAATGAAGTATTAAGCTTTTCCTCATGTTGTGTGTAAGCATTGAGCTCTGCTGCGCCGGCCCTGCAGTCAGAGCTGTGCTGGCGTTTTTGTGTGTGTGTGTGTATGTGTGCGTGTGTGTGTTGCTGCTGTTTTACTGAGGATATCGTCCTCAGTATCCGGCCAGTCTGTCAGAGAGTTTTTCCTGCTCACAGCGTGTGACGACGTGAAGCCGGCTCATATCAGAAGTCTACAGAAGGCTGTTTTTTTTTTTTTTCTCTCTCTGTCTCTTCGGCTGCTGATTACCTCACGCTTCAAAAATCTGTTTCCTCGTCTGGTGGGAAGCTGTCAAGAAATATTTGCGTGAGGCCTCAAAATTCCAGCCCTTTGATCGGACTGACTTTGGATCCTCTGCTTCTCTGACCCCCCCCAAGTCCGTCTACAACCCCGCTGGCCCCAAATGGACACTGTCCTTTTCCAAGTTTTACAAGAATGGCGATTATCCCGTGCTTTAAGTTTAAGAAAGACGAGACAGAATGACATGGGTAATTCAGCTGATAAAACACATGAAGCCAAGAAGTCAATCAGAAAGAGAATTAAGGCCAAAAGAGGGTTGCTCAACATTTTCTTTGTTAATTACTTGGTTGTGTAGATATAGCTACTATAAGTGTTTTAAATGATAAGTCTGAGAAACAAGGAAGTACATAATGTGTCTATAAATATCACATTTCCCACCTTTGTTTTGAGGAAAATATCTTGATCCACACCCAACGCATAACCTTAAGTCCTAATAAAGAGTTCATTTGATTCCAGAAAGCTCCTCTGACCAATGATGAGTCAAACTCAGCCGTAGGACTATTTTGGTGGAGTGATGTGTAATTCATTCCTGTACATGCTTCCTGCTCGTTGATGATCAAAGATTAAAAAAGCAGCCTCAACCGAATTGGCAACAGTCTGGCTTCAAAAATGGACTAAATCACCACCAAATACAGGCTCGTTGCTACCGACAACAAAACAAGAATATGTCATGGTGGCAACCACACTGCTGACTCACTCCCATCCAAACACCACCTCCTCAAAAGGAGAGGGTAGTTCTGAATGGACGGCGGTGACAATAATTCCAGTTCCAGCTATTAAAGGTGGATAGTTAACTAAATATGGGGAGATCTGTGGTGGAATGACGAGTGAAAAGAGCTGTCAGGAACCAAAAGAACAGGAGGGTGCTTTCAATTCGCAGAGAGCTGGATAAGCCAAACAGGAGAGCCAAAACGGCTCCGAGTTCTGGGAAAGCTGCCGCAGGCCTCCAACATGTGCGTGACAGCAGTTGAGAGCACACCGAGTCCCCCAGCTTTCCCATTTTGGTCTCCCTCCACCTAAAAGACAGACCGGCAGGATCAAGGAAACGGGTTTTGTGGTGCCGGTGGAGAGGTGAGGAGAAGGAATCTCGGTTTAAGGAAGAGCCGGGCTATTAGGCGTCCGTCGCCGGGATTAAGGTCCCCCCCACTGGGCCAGCTGAAAGGAGTTTAAGCAGAATGCGCTTTCCTGCTCAGACCTTTGCTTTTTGTCAGATCCGTTTAACTCTGACGGGACCACCAACACCCCTCCACGGGGGGCCACTCCTGGCTTGGGTGGAAGTTGGCTTCAGGAAGTGGGCTCGGGTTAGCGCCTGTGCCGGGCCGATACGAGTCCACGCCGTTACAGCGGGACACATGATTTCACCACCTGCTGCCCTGGTGTGGAAGAGTTTCTCTTTCTATTGGTGGGAGGTTTTATTTTAGTCTCGACTGGAAACACCTGCTTCCAGATGTTGGAACCCAATCTGTGCCGTTAGGGAGGAGCTCTGCCTGGTATGGACACAGAGGGAGGAAATTAGTCTTTTAGCGTTGTGTAAAAAAGTGACTAAAACTATCTGTCCTCAGCTTTTTCTGCGACTGGAGTCATGGCCCTCATTTTGGCTCACGAATCCTGATATAGGAACAGATCTGTAAGACGTATGAGGAGCCATGGGGTTCGAGCCCTACTTTACCCTTTGTCTCCATTCATCTGAACAAGTGTGCAGCTCTTTTTGGAAATAAAGAGCCTCCGATTTTCGGGCAGCTGAGCTCAGGTTAGAAAAGATGGCTCCAGTTGATGCCTCGTCTTCTCCCTAATTCAAAGAGACACAAAGGGCCATCGGAACAGAGCAGCTTTCCCCGTCATGTACGTGAAGTCTCCGTGGGAGCAATTATGCATGAGCAACACTGCCTATCATGAAATATTGATTCTTCCTTTTACTGTAGTTTACTGTAGTGCTGTAACAGTCTATTATCCCCATGCACGGACTCAGCTTTGCTCCGTGTTGTCTGTTATGAGGAGACACAGCACTGGTTGATCCCATGCGTTCAGTCTGAAACGATCCGTACGTTTTTGTGTTTGACCGAAAAACAAAAAAAATCACTCCCAAAGAAGGGCACCAAGACTTTCTCCTGCTGTTGTGGATCTCATTTGTTTAACTCGTTCGTTCGTTTGGTTTACATACAAGCGAACCAAATCCACTACAAACAGGGATATCCCCAGCTTCTGGGATGAGCGCTACTTGAGGGGAGGGTCGGGCGTACAGCGCAGCTATGCAGAATGAAGAGACAGAGCTGGGTCTAAATCCAGATCACTGTGGCATGAAAGGAATCCTCTGTTGGCGCTGGTGGCCGCTGACTCCTTCCCCTCCCTGTGTGAAACCAGCGTTTTTCCTGGTCTGCCCCGAGCGGACATTGCGGCCTTTCATCTCCCAGAGGAAGGACAGCTGCTCCTCGGGTCCCCTCTGGCCCGCGGGAGGTGTTCCCCTTCTGGCTGTCCAAGGATTTTTTTTTTGGGGAGCTGGTTATCGAATAACCAACGCCCCCCACTGCGGGATGCAAACGGTGTGAGCAAAGATAAGACAAGCGATGTACAAAAATGTGTCCGTCTTTCGTCTTAGCTCACAAATTCCAATTTTGTGGGCATATTTTGACACAGAAGCTGAAACCAATAGATAAAAAATGCACAGTTCTTACAGTAAATGTTTTAGGTTCCTCATTCCTCTAAAAATGAGTGTTCATTCATTTCTCTGCCTCTTGCAGAAGAAACAGGTCACTTCTCAATAAAGAGGAACCTGTGAGACTTTGACTCTTTCACACAGCAGAATCGGCATTCTGCTTCAGAATGCCGATTCTGCTGTCAGGACTCCCCTGTCCACCTTCATTCATATTTCTTTGGAGGGCCGCCTCGTAAAAGGATTAAGTCCACTACTTCTCCATTTCACTAAACCGTCTTAATCTGCCGTTTGAGGGGTTCCCCGGGTCCCCCGGGGGCCCGTTTTGTGATCTATGTGTTGTATTTAGTTTTCCCCACCGTGGTACTGATCGCCTCCCTCTCTCCTGTCATCCCTGTACGCAGACGGTGGACATCCATAAAGAAAAAGTGGCCAGGCGTGAGATCGGGATCTTGACGACCAACAAAAACACGTCCAGGACCCATAAGATCATCGCGCCGGCCAACATGGAGCGCCCGGTCAGGTACATCAGGAAGCCAATCGACTACAACGTCCTGGACGATGTCGGGCACGGCGTTAAGGTGAGCGTCTCGGACCCCCCCCCCCTTTTTCTTTATGAGACTGTCTGCTCTCAGATGGATTTCTGCTCTCTCTGTTCATCTGCGTCAGTTCTTCTTCTACAGCCCCCTCCCTCCCCCCTCCTTGTTTTCTTTCCAGAGGTATTCCTATCTCCCCACTTCTCCTCTCTCCCACTTTGACTCTGTTTCTCGCTCACACTCTGGTCCCCCGTGCATTCGCTTTCATCTTCAGAAAGCGCCCCTTCTGACCCCTACAGGAATACGTCCGAGTGTGGGTTGGTGGGAACTGGTTCGGAGCGGAGATGAGCTAAAAAACTATTACATCAAGTAGTTTCCAGAAAATGTCGAGATGCGAAATGCGGTTAGCTCCCCGTAATCTTATTCTCGAGCTGTTTGGACACCAGCTCGGTCTGAAAGGTGGGAACGGAGCTTTTTGATGTGCCATTACGGCTCTCTTTCAGGGTCACAAGGTTGCAAGACAATGATATCATTTCCTGATGGCCGCAGGCGCTTTTCTCCATGTCCGTCCTCCCTTTTGAGCCTTGTCTGCTCCATCAATCAGCCAATCAATCGCAGCTGTCAGGCAGATTGTGTTAGAGGCCCACCATCACTGTCCCATACCATTACAGGCGCGGATAAGACCGGATAAAAGCCACCGTGCCCCTGTCAATCCCTGTGGAGGCTTATTTTGAATTAAGTTTAATGAGATGTGATTATTCTCACCACGGGGAAAAGAGTTACTATGAATATTAGGTTTCCAAAGAAGTTTTGTGGATAGCCACCTCCCGCGAACTGGATGGTAATATTCAGTGTTATGTTTCCAAACTGATTTAACAAACCAAGGAAAATTAGTTAAATTTATCTGTTCTTTATTCAACTAATACTGCATCTATTAAATTTAGTATGGAAGAAGTCGGGCATGTTCCCATGTCTGTAGCCCAGTTTTTTTACCCTCCGCTGCTCTTCCTTGGTAATTCACACATGCCAAAACGGAGGAGGATCGCTTTATGAGGAACGGGGAATTACCCAAAAGACTGCGGGCCTGTAAGGGCTGTTTCTCTGTTTGGATTCATACCACACATAGAGACATTGAGAGGAATTTCTGGCAGCATCGTAATTCCTCAGTTGCAAGTCGTGCTCGAAAAACCGCAGGCTTCACTGTTGGTCCATTCATTCGCTTTTTATTCTTCACTGGCTAGATTTGAGAGCTTTGGATGCACAAAGTTTATCAGAGTAATGTCTGTGTTGGCTGCCGTTCAGCTTGTAGACGGCAACTTGGATGAGAGTTAAAAAGCTCTTCAAATTCTGCTGAGCTTTTATAAACTGCAAAAAAAAGCTCAATAAATGTGATTTTGGGGTTCACATTTCTGTGGACTGAGTGGGAAAACGCTCCCAGCTTTAAGGATTTAATGCTCAGGTCGCAGTGGCTGATGCCGTGTGAGACGTTTAATGTCCTCAACCAATCAGGTCTCCTCTGGCCTGAAGAGGATGGGGACCAACAGACATTGGGCAGGTGGTTTTTACCTTTTGGCTCATCACTTTTTTTTATGGATTTAGTTAATATACATTTAGAACAGAAGTGTTCTAAATGTTTTTGTTAAGAATAAGATCCTCCTTAAACTGTTCATTTTAAGACCGCAGATTTGCATAAAAATGAAAATGACTGAAATCATCATGCTTCCCTGCAGCTTTGAGGTAGTTTAAAGCATCTATTTTAGGAGCATTGCTCTTTACAGAGCGGCCTAATCTCTGTGGATTTTCCTTTATTGGAACCTCTTCAAAAATGCTACATTCATGTTGAATGTGGGGAACACGTACGCCCACACACGCCCTTCATCATTAGCCGTGCACGTCACAGCACACAGAAGCAACCCGTACCCATCGTCAATATTCCATATGAACTGGGAACAGAATCTGTGATGGCTGCTGTCAGATCTATCTGACCATGTTTTACTGTCCGACTGGAATCGATACTGTAATGGCAGTTTAAATCATGTCTAATGGCTTTAGTTTACTGTGAAGCTGCATCTGCCCGAGGGTTGGCGTTGGCCTAAATGTTGATTTGGCTTCACACTAAGCACCTACAAATTGGAGAAAAAAGACCTTTCAAATAAGTGTGAGAATAAGGAGCAAAAATGATGGCAGGAATCTGTTGATGTGAACAGAGCGACATCGGATCACTAAAATCAGCAAATTTATGGAGTTCTTTTCCTCCACTAAGATGGAATTTAATCTGGTCAGGGGCCAATTTCGGAGTCCAGGTGACATGTTTAAAGAAAGAAGTTAGCTTCCGATGAGTAAAGATTTTTATAAGAATCTATGCTCTTTTAAAATGTCATTTTCTGTTTAAAATAAAAGCAACAAGGTTTTTTTGTTGAATTGCAAATTTAAAAATGTTGGTATCATCAGCTCAAAACCAAATGAAGGCAATCAGAAGACGTGCTTTCTGATGCATTCCACCGCCTGTTTCCTCCAACCAGCTCACAGTGGGTTTAGTTTTTTTGGAGTTGGTTAGACAAAGAAAAAGGTGTTTCAGCCAGAAGGTGAAAAGACCTTTAAGGCAGCACGTGTTGCTCTAAAAGTCAGAGTGAACTTTTCTGGATGTCTAAACTCCAGTCTTACAGTCGTTACATTAAAACTGTTAATACTAACATCCGGTCTACTCTGAATAATACATTTAATGGATCATTTTGCATTCATTCGGTTTTGAAACAGCACAGCAGTGTGGACCAATCATGTTTGGGCAGGCTGTGGCCGATAAATGGCTGTTTGAACAGAACCTATCTGCTTATTCACTAGGCACAGCGACATTGGCGGCAATCCACCAATTCTTAGGACCACTTTCTTAGTTGTTAGATTTGAAAATTGCCTTAAAATTCCTTAAAACGGTGCAAGGAGAGGCATTCAATTGATCAGCGAGGCCCTCGCAGGGCCGTTTCATCCTCCGTGGACTTGATAATGACCTTAATATGAACCTGCCCGTCCATAATTAATCACTGAAACATTTCCATGCTGACGGTCTGGTTTGTTCAGCAACATTTGCCGGGCAGATACGGCGAGCAGGCTTTGGCATTTCCAGCATGACCTAGATTGTAAATTGAATCTGGTCACGGGCTGATAAAGGAGTGAGATCCCAACGAGCTGAAGATTTTTTTCTTCTGTTCTTTTTTTTTTTTTTTTTTTTTTTTTTTTTTAAGGGCGAAAGAGCTGTTCAAATATTACTTCTACCGTATGACTGAGTTTGGTCTCTGCGTGTCTTTTTCTCCTGTGGACCTGTGACGCCATGGTGCTTTCTCCCCTAAGCCCCCGGAGAACCTGCATTATAGATGAACCACTTGACTCTGAAGCTGTCAAACTGCAGATAAAACCCCGCTGCTAAGTTCGCTCTGTGCTCTCTCCCACATGAGCCCACACATGTCCAGAGTGTTTATGATTTCCACCAGCAATGCGATCATTTCACATAATTTGACCCTGATTTACTTATATTTCGCATTAAAACGTCTAAATGCAAAACACAGCGTCTCTCAAAAGACTGACTCTGTGTGGAGGACATTTTTTTTTTCCTACACCAGCAGGTGTAGTCATTTCAACGGCGTGCAGTGGGTGTGGTTCAGAGCAAACAGTCAGGGTCCACGGTGCTTTTCCCTGGTTGCCCCACTTCCTAAATGTTTACTCAGTGTAAATAGCACCAGGAACAGTTTTTATTTTTTTTATATCTTGTGACTTGTACTTTGACTTCTCCTGCTCTGTTTCGACACAGACGTTTTTTTTAATATGCCCTCTTACGGTCTCCTTTCTCTCTTTTTTTCTCCTCTGCTCGCAATAAGTGGCTCAAAGCCAAGGTAAGTCTAGTTTGTCACATGACCCATTTTGCCCCAATGTATAATTGATGCTATCTCAACTCCTCTCCGCGTCAAACCCACAAACATTAATTTTTTTCATTTCACATGCTAACTTCCTGTTGTCCTCCCCGTAGAGACGAACCCATGACCCGAGGCTCAGTAGCACCTTCCATCTGTTTACCAGCTCTGTCTAATGTGTCATTTACACTTTGTCTTATAATTCCCCCTCTATTGTTCTGGAGTTGAGTCAAATTTTACAGGCTTGCTTACAACATGTAGGGTATCAGTGTTGGACAAACCCTGTCATTTGAAACAGAAATCTAGATTTACGAAAAGAGTAAATCACTTAATTCCCGGGTTTCATGGCAGTGTATAAAAAGGAGGCTCGGGGCTGCACAGTGTTGTTAGTTATTTACTTTTAAGGATTGGGCAGCACCTAAATGATACAGATGTGTCTAATTAATGTTGTACCAACGGCCTGTAAACATTTGATTCAAGTCACATCAGAACTTCTCAACCACCAGAGCTGAAGGCGTCTCTTTTTTTTTTTTTTCCTAACCACAGCAACATGGAAACAATCAGTCAATCAGAGCTGGAACACTATCGAGGACCAATCCTCCGACACAGAAGCCACCCAGCCCGCCGATGTCGGGGCGAGGCACGCTGGGGTAAGCTTTATCTAACCTTTATCTAACCAGCTGGAAATGGAAGGTCGAACGTGTGATTATCAACCATCAGATGACATATGTGCTCATTTTCTAATGTTTGTCTGATGGTGAGCTTCCTGATGCCCCTGGACAATATGATTATTTTTTTAAAACTCATTTAGCACAAACATTCAAAACCGATATGAGTGACAAGGCCTTGGAAAGCAAAACTGAGCTTTAATCCCTTTGGTTTCTTTTAATTTCCCGTATTCTTTCCGGCCGCTGCAGACGCAACACGCCCTATAAAACCCTGGAGCCAGTGAAGCCCCCCACAGTGCCCAACGACTACATGACCAGCCCCGCCCGCCTGGGCAGCCAGCACAGCCCCGGACGCACGGCGTCACTCAACCAGAGGCAGCGCACACACAGGTATGAAAAGAGACGAAAACTTGACTAAGCCGAGACTATTTCAAACGGTAATAAACCAGACACAAACATATTTATGGACATGTTTCAGGCATATATCTGGATTCACATAAACACACATTACAATACCAGAGCATTCATTGTGCAAAGGGGGCAATTTTCATCTCAAAACGTTGCATAAAAACAGCAGAGGGGCTGGAAACTACTGTACAGTTCTACTGCTTTGACGTCTGTGATCTCCACAGCTGTTGTTTTATTTGTTGCTCTGAAAGGTGAGGCCGTGCAGGGACAGCAGCAGCCGGTTCCACAAAGCATTGAAGCTCTTTCTGTATAGCCAAAAGAGACTCATGCCACAGAATATTCTAGATACGGAGGAGCAACATTATGACAGTCACAGCATACCAGTTCTAATGATAATGGATTAAAGCAGAAAGTTTAAAAATGACAGCTAAACTATGCTCTACTATCAGCCTTTTCATCACTTCTGTAGCCCAAAAATCTTTCAGTTATGCTCCATAAAGTTCACAAATTTATATCTCCCAAACACAAAGTGATATCTCAGAAGAGATACATTATTCCACATTCACTTTCTTAAACTGATTTATTTCATAAAACTTATTCCACTTTAATAACACTTATTCCACTTTAATAACAGTTATTTGACCACAGGCAATCTTATCTTCATTCCACTTTCATATTACTTATTACACTTCTGTAACACTTATTCAGCTTTAGTGTTTAAATTGATTCCACTTCAGGAAATCGTATTTTTGTTTATTCCACTTTCGTAACACTTAGTCCACTTTAATAACACTTATTCCGCTTTAATACAACTTATTCCACTTTATTAATAAACATTGAATTTATTCCACTTGAGGAAATCTTATTTTCATGTATTACACTTGTGTAAAACTTATTCTCGGTTGTGTTGGAAAAGCTTCTATCCAAAAACATTGGCCCCCTTCACGTGCAGAAGAGAAAAAATAGTTCTAATCTCTTTATTTAGGTTCAGCAGCTTTGACACCTCTTCCTCTCCTCTGCGGCTCCAAATCCCACATTTGTCTGACAAGGCTTGGAGGAGCTCTTAGCACAGCCCGAATCACTCTGACATTAATATCTGTAAAAGCCTCCAAAAAAAAAAGAGTGCCGTTCCAAAAGAAGAGTCAGCCGTGGCCTGGAAACCCTCAAACACTCCTCTGAGGGACTGCTCCCCAGAAATGTAGCTGCAGAAAGCAGGGGTGGCACCGTCATCAGATTTGAGTTATGATGTGAGTGAAGTCGTCTCATTAGCTAAAGAGCCTGTTATGCTGACTGTGATGCTCATAAATACCACCCAACTTTTTTTTTTCTCTCTTCTTGCCCAATTTTTTCCCCCCTCCGCTGCATCCTGGCCTCACTTGTTCAGAGGAAGAGCAGCTCTCTCACCAACCTGAGGAAGAAAACAGATATCACAGCAGCTGTCCGCTTTCTTTTTCTGGCGCTTCACACTAATAATGCAGCTCCATCACTATCTGATTATCCCTACTTGACGTCGACTGAGCTTATTCAGCTCATCGCTCTCTTTGAATCTCATCTGAGATCTGAATTCAATAGAGGCTCCTGCTGAGCATCCCTGCCATTATCTGATATTGGAAAGATTAAATTGTCACAAGCAGGTATCGTTGCTGCAGGATCGTATTATAGGTTTGGTCTCAGTGCAAAAACAAGGACAGATCTCTGATCAACCTAAACAGAAAGAACAAAAGTGATGTGGTTTGAGGTGTATTTAAGGTTTTGACAGAAAACTGGATGTACCCTGGCTTAAACATTATGTTATGCCGTTGAAATTAGAAGTGTGTAGAAGGAAATATCTGTCCACTAGGTGAAGCCATTTTGGGGGGAGTGGTTAAGAATAATGTAGGAATCATGATGTAATAAGATGCGTTAGATATCTTTGCAGTTCAGTCTTTATTTTAGGGTTTGTGTTTAGGCTTTTGATACCGTCTCAGGAGGAGCAGAACAGCCCAGAAATGCATCCATCTCTGCCTTTGTACATCCGTTCTCAGTGGTGGCCGAAGTGGCTCTCATCGAGGGTTTTAGCGTATTTATTAACAGGCCTACTTATTCAAGAAAAACTTGTTAGAACTTCTTTTCTGAATCGTCCGAAACTTCGTCCCCTGTACTCTCAACCTTGATGATGTCATTCTTCGTTGATAGTTTATTAAGTTTGTTTATATAGGAGACAAAGTACTATTTATTTTTCTTTAGCCTGCTGTCGCTGTTTAACATAGAGGCTGACTTGAGAAGGCAGGGGAGGATGAGAAGCAGCAGACAGGGCTGAGTGCCTTTACCGGTGAAGAGATAAATGAGAGATAACTGAAAGGGCAACTTACTGAGGGATTAGGCGGGATAAATTCAAAACATGTTGATTGGGGGGGCTCAAGTTCAGTGTTCACTTCAAAAGAAGGATGACATGATATTGTTTGGCCTTTATCCCCCACAGACACTTTGCTCCCACCATCAGCCTTCATGTGGGGAGGCACCCCAGTTTTTGGTGCCTGGAGAGCCTGAGGGCTTGACTGACATGGATCAGAGAGGAAGGGATAGGAGAGGGGGGGGGGTCGATGGGCATAAAGAGATGTGGGGGAGGTGGAACAAACGTAGAATCCCTTTACAGCCGATGAAGACACGAGAGAAAGAGGTCGGGGGGGGGGGCGGTTTGGTTTATGTGTGGGGATGAAAGGCAGAAGAAATGAGGTGGAGCGTGAGATTGGAGCAGAAATTAGGACCAAGGGCTGCCTGAAAGAGAGCATGAGTTACCAGGAGGGGGATTAAGTCAGCCTGACCGTTGATCTACACACCCTGGGGTCAAATGCAGGGTGAAACGGGCTACTGAAGAGCTGACATACTTACTGTCATCACGTGTCCTATTTCCTGTGTCCTATATTCATAACAAAGGCCTCTACTTCATAAGGATGGTTGCGTGTCCCCTACAAAGATTTTAGGAGTTATTGAGGCTCTTTTACTTGGGATTCTGAGAACTTTAATGGGATCGTGTGTCATGGCTGCCACTCAGATATTTCAGGGTGATTTCATGCACTTAGGAGCTGTGACCGGACTCTGACGGTTCTTAAAGCTGACAAAGAATAGCAGACTGGCCACATAGTTCAGTTTCAGGGCTGTGCTGAAGCACAGGTCTGAAAAAGGACAAACAAATGTGTTCTTCATCAAAGATGTTCTGAGCCCTTGCTGGTGCCAGCTGCTCTGTCATAAATAATCTGTACACAAAGGGCTGATAGCAGCTGGCTGGAGCCCACAGATTATGTCTCGATGGGAGAAAGTTGATGATCTCGGGTGCTCCCCACCAATCTGGGCTTCGCGTTTGAGTAATCATTGAAAGACAAATCAATGTTGATTTTAAGTTTGCTTCAAACTGACTTTAAGAAATGTTTTCTGTATGATGGAAACAAGGCTTAAGACTATGAATTGAAGCTTGGATGTCTAGAGTTCAATACCCGGTGGGTTCCATTTCAACAGTGAAGCACGGTGGTGACAGAATCATCCTGAGGGATAGAGTTGTCCCACATTTGTTGAATGAAAAATGGAAACATTGGAGACTCTAAATTAATTTTTTTCCAAGATATTAGCAGAAATAATTCCTCTTTTTGCTGTTTTTATGTATGGGCAGATGTTTTCTTCCTTTTACTAATCAATTTACGAGGTATACAAAGCTCAGTTTAGCCTCACATCATGTACAACAAATTGAAAAGTGAAAGCAAAGCAAGTATCCGAGATTAACAATGACTACAGATCATTTGGAAAGAACTACAACATCAGTGTCAACATATTAGAGGCCATTTACGTACAGACGGCTTAATTGTCCAGTTGAATAGTAAAATATTGATTTTCATTCTGTTTTCACGCCCTGCTCAGCTGGGTGTGTGGCCCCGCTGCTCAGTAGTAGCAAGCTAACAGCATCAGTGTGAACAACCACAGACGAGCTGATTTTAGGGTGGCTGGCGTGTGACTGTAAGTGGGCCACGAGCCGTCTGAGCAGGCCGCCCTGAATAAAGCGACGTCCTCTTTTCTCTTGTGTGCCCCTCAGCGGGAGCAGCGGGGGCAGCGGCAGCAGGGAGAACAGCGGCAGCAGCGGGATCGGCATTCCCATCGCCGTGCCGACCCCCTCCATCCCCAATTCTGGACCAGGTAGGTTTTGTGGCAGCCAAAGACTCTCTCCGCCTCGCTGTTGTCCGACATGCCCCTGCAGAGATTTACCTTTTCCAGGACACTTTTCTGTTGGTTTAAACAAATGGTTTGACAAACTTGCATCAGTGGAAATCTTCTCCGAAGCGGGCCTGAGGCGGCGCCGTTTGAACATTGGCAGGGAATGCTGAGAATGGTTGGAAAGTGTGCACAGCTGCGGGAGCCTCGGCCAGTTTACTCTGTGCGCAAATTAAACAAAAGACAGATTCACCACTGCATACCACTGCCGTGTAGTCACCTCACTTCAAGACGACAGAATTACCGGCACGGCGAAGCCAAGGTGATGTTGTGTTTAGAGTCGTGTTGTTGGGACGCATCACGCTGTCTGCGGATTGTGGGCCCGCCACGTACAGAAAGCCTATGTTTACCAGACTGGGATTATTGAGGCCCATTGTGTTCTCAGCACAGCTGATTCTCTATCCTATTGTGTAAATAGGCCAAGCTGCGTGAGGCCCTGTGCTTTACATTTGAACAGTAAAGCCCACATGACACCCGGCACGAGCCGCTCGGAGCGTTGCATCACAGCAAGACTTCTGCGCTCACGTGAGCCGAGGAAGGAACATTTTAGGCTCCCCTCAGCCCCGGGATCGTGGCGTCCCCGGCTCTCGCTCCGAGCCGGTTGCCATGGAAACACTCGCTCCGCACCGGCGAGGAGCCGCGTCTTGGAAAAAAAAAAGTTGGAACGCTCTCCTCCTGGTTGCGGTGTTATGTAACAGCACAGGGGGTTACACTCCGTTACTGCCTCGGCTAATAACAAAACACTCCTTTCAGTCCCACCCATGTCTGCTCCTCCCGGAGCGCCTCCACCTCCCCCACCCCCTCCTCCACCACCTCCATCCATGGCCGGGCTCGCACCACCACCACCACCGCCACCCATAGGTGAGATTACCCGCACCCCGCAGAGCCCACGGCAGATCATCGCCACGCCGTTTCCTCCCGGAGGGGGCTCTCACATCAGGGTGCTCTGGGTGTGGCTGTCTGTCCACACACACCACAAGCAACAGTGTTCCTCTGGGCAAATCGCTCGTTTCAAATTCATCCACAGAAAGCACTGCACTTGTTGAGAGAGGGGGGGAAAAATGACACGTGTTAACATGTGAACACGACATCCGCTGAGGAATCTGTGCGGTTGCTTGTAGTGTGTGTAACATTCCTCTGGATTGTCTGTGGTGGTGGTGACAGCTGTGTATCTCTCTTTATTTCTCCACTGGATGATAATGCCGTCGCATGTCACCAAGGGCCCTTTCCGAAGTTAATTACTTCCCATTCAATCTTTGAAAATCGGAATCAAGATCTGATCTCAAGCTGCTTAATTTTTTTTTTCAAAACCAACCCCAAAGTTTCAGAAAATCATTCCAAAAGAGGAAAATATGTGGTGTTCAGGCTTCTGCTGCACAGGTACAGTATGTCAGCTTTATCTGCTCTCTTCTCTGAGAAACTATTTTGGGGAGAAGCTGCATCTGGCAACGTTTCCCCAAAGCTCCAAGACTTTCACTGAGGGACATTGTGTGAAAACCTTTATCACACTTGGTGGAACGTGGGCCAAAGAAGAACACGTTAAAACATCAGTGCAGATCGGAACTACTTTACCAAGAATTACGGAACAGGGCAATCACTTTGGAGAAGGATGCCGTTGATTTGTGACCTTTTGATAAACCAATAAAGTTTACAATGGAGTACTGATGCTGTTTATGATCCACTGAGGGGGAACTGATGAAATATAACCATCATATCTGGCCTTTTGGTGCCATGATAAAAGTTCAGTCGACATCAAACGGCGGGTGATGGGAATGCAGCCCAAAGAACAACCGGACTATTTTTCAATGATGGTGCTTTTTCTCAGGTCTGTAAGAGTTTTGAGGTTTTCCAATCAGAAAACCCCCTTAAACAAACAGTTTAGGGTTCAGTTAAAACAGATTGGTCTCACAGATCAGACATCATATCGTGTCTGGATTAAGTTCCTGTAACATATCTGGCCTGTTGTGGGATATTACTGGGCCAAACCTTTCTGGCTGCTTGAGATTAGCCTTAAGCTAGCTCTAAAGAACCACAGCTAATATGACAAAGTGTGATTACTACTTAATAGTCACAGAGCAGTTCAACAGCCACCTTCCATTACTGCCCAATGCAGCTTTAATCTTCATGGGGTATTGATTCAGAATCACTGATTCTGTGCAGCGGCCTGTCTGAGTGACATGATCACGTGAATCTTGGAGCTTTTTCCATCCGAACATCAGCACTCTCTGGTGTAATTATTGCCGCTGGTTACTCTGAATGATCTCTTCCTCGCACTCCAATCTTTCCTGTTTGAGTCTCCTCTTTTACAGATGGGAAGAGGAAATGATCGAGCAGAATAAAGGGGACATCTGTTTTCTCAAATATTGGAGTTAATTTGATGCCGTGTTGTGATAGAGAAACACATTATAGATCAGTATGGATCAGTTTGTTGGGCCGCTGCTTTGCTCAGCCCTCTTCTGCGTATAAGACTTCATCAGAAATCCTCATGGGACTCCTGCTGAAATGTGTGTGACAGGGTTACCAGACATCGCTGATCCTGTCAGCTCTGCTGCTTCCTGCTTCTGTGTCTGGCCTTTTCTTGAGGTGTCGGGCTCTGATCAGTATTGAAACGCTCTCTGTATCGTTGATGATTCATGATGTTTCCCTTCTTTCCATTCCCCTCTGTCTAACCTCCCTCCCTCCCTTTTGGCTTGTGCCTGTCCTCCCTCTCTCCTCCCTCTTTCCTCCCTGTCTCTGGGTGTCTAGTGGTGGCCCCCGGGCCGGGGTTGGGCCCCGCTCCAATGTCCCAGTTTGGAACCATCTCGCGGCAGATTTCGCGGCACAATCCCGCCAATTCCTCTGTCTCTATGGTTTCGGCCACGGGCACCTACCGCCGGGCGCCGTCGGTCACTTCCCAGTTCTCCCTGCAGCAGCAGCAGCAACAACACCAACAACAACAGCAACAACAACAGCAACAGCAGCCTCACATTAATGGAGGCACTCCTGGCTACGGCCAGAACTCAAGTAAGGCCCTTCTGTCTCTAGTTCCTAGTCAGAACTAAGCCCACCTCTTTTCCCTTTGAGAAAATATTTAGAACATGAAACGTGCTCTGTAGAGGTCAGTTCTGCTCTCTTGTAAGACTCATTGACTTTTCTCTCAAAGTGCAGATTAAGGCTTTTTATCTAACCCTGTGATGTCTTTAGTATTGATGCGGAGAGCATTATCCTCTGATTTTAAGGCAGATGTTAGACAGACGGCCAAAGTCTGCCTCAGTCATTGTCTTTGAAATGAACTTCACTTCTCTGGATTTTACCTCCTTGAATATTAAGTAGTATTTAGTTATTTTATTTTTTTATTACAGCTGTTTGTAATCAAATATAGAGCTGACAACAGCAGCCAAGTTCAGGCGCCCTATCAGAGTGCTGGGTAGAGGTTTTCTAAGAATGTGGCCATGCTCCCTGAACAACGTTCAGATCAGTCCAGCTCCAGATGTGACGGATCATAGAACACTCAATAAGACGTGAAGCCCTGCATGGTGTGCCTCTCGTCCGATAACAGTTACAGTCTGGTGATATCGGGTACAGAATGGGTTGTATTGGCTACTTAGTTTAGAGGTCCATGCAAGTCAGTTGTTGCTTCACTAAATTGGCACAGATCACATTCTGGAAAAGGTATGAACAAAATCTGTGAAAGTGAGAGTTCCAAACTACCTTTTAACAGATCAGAAGGAGGCTTTAGATAAGCCAAAGCAAACATCGCCTCCGTGTGGCTGCTGGCGATGCTTCCCTTTTTGAACGATTGGAAACGGTCTGTCTGACCGAAATCAAGCGTAATCCTCAGTTTATCCTCTGACCCCAGTGACGTTCTAACGCCACATGAGAGTTCACAGCAGTCACAGACGTCACTCAACCTTTTCAACCGACACTTGTTTGGACATGTTTTTTTTAACCATACGATGCTTTAAAAACACCCGTAACAGTATTTTCGGGACATCTCTGGTGTTTTTTTACCCTTTTTTCTGGTCATTGATATGTTCAGGCTCACCGTGAGCGTCCGTCACCGCTGTGCTCACATGGATCTGGGCCTGAACGGCTCTTTGTACCTTCTCTCTGACTGATTGGCTTCATCTCCTCTCTCTCTCTCTCTCTCTCTCTTTTATCTTTATTCCATTTCCCTCTCTTGTCTACGCTGGCTTTCAGTGTCTGTCGCTCCTCCTCCTCCGCCCATGCCCCAGCTGACTCCACAGATACCTCTGACTGGCTTTGTGGCCAGGATGCAGGAGAGCAGTAAGTTAAGAGGATACGTGCAGCTACCTCCTCCTTATCTGTGCCAACGGCTCCCATTTCCACATCCCCCCGCATGCATCTGACCTGTTCTTCCTTTATAGGCCGTCTGCAAATAGAAGTTTCATT